TTTAATTCACAGTTAAAATAGAAGTGAAACCCTTCCCCTATGGTTATCAGCAGCAAAATTTTTATTAATTTTAACAGCAGCAGTAGGTATAAGAGCATCTGTGCAGAAGAATCTTCATATCTTCTGTAGTCATATTGACTTCATTAAAGATCAGAGACCCGATGTTGTAATTTTATCATATCTTTCTGTAGCATTCACAAAGTCCCTATTCTTGCACACCAGAAGAAACCACCTTTGCTCAAAAGCCTTCCTATAACATTGTCCCAATCCTGCACTGTATAAAGTTTTGGATGTTCTGCATTTTAACTCATCCACTAGTTACCTAGTTTCTTGTGAGCATTATAGAGGATTTAGAGGTAGAGGTGAGGGTGATAATCCTGTGTTCAAGTTGGGTAGGTTTCTGTAGAAAGTAGGTTGCACAGAAGATGGCTGCAGAAGTCAAGACTGATGAAGCTAATGCAGGGAGTGAAAATGGCAGTCTGATGAGCAGATAAGTAAGGAAAGGATCTGGGAATGTGCTAGCAGACAAAGACAAGAAAGCTTGAATGTGGCACAGCTGAAGAGGGAAGAACTGGTAAGAGATGGGGGGTGACAAGTTTCTGGTATTGACAGGAAACATGATCTGCACAGCTGTATCTGTGACTAACTTAAAACTGGCAGGACATTCTTTAGATGATTACATCTATCAAACTCCTCTTTAAAGAAAGAATAAATATTTTACCAAAACGGAGAAAAAAAAGGCTTAGAGCTGTTTTAATAAACTATTAGAAAACTATTTTGAAGCCAGCGACTTAGAAGGCAGTGACTTCTCATGCCTAGAAACTCAGTTCTAGGAAGGCAGCCACTCGTAATGGAGGCAAATAGTAGGCAGGAGGCTGCAGCTTGTACTTTAAATACCTTGCAAGATAAACATCTAGGTGGACTACGTGCTTCTAATTCACATCTAATTAATAGGGCATAGAGGAAAAAGGCATCTCCCAGTCAGATTACAGAAGCCAAAGACACATTGCATGAATTGTTCTTTGGACTGCTTGGTTTTATGCAGCAGTTTTTGTAGAGATGACTGTGCTGGAGCCACCACTTGCTGCAATTGGCCTAGCTATCCGAGACAAAGTTTAAATACGTTAACGTGGGTACTCCTGACAAATGTGGTATCCTAGAAGTCAGTGTGTGACGTTTATCCTGCTGAGATCCACAGTGCTCTACAACATTGCTACAAGTGCCTTAGCTAGCTATTTATTTCAAAGTGGTTGGGAGACTCTTGGTGGAAAGTCTGGAGTTAGAAGCAATTGTGAAGTCTCAGTTGGCACAGATTAGTCCCAGGATTTAGGACTAGCAAAGTGACTTAAGCACTAAATCCCTGCCTTTCCCCTCTAGCCTTGTTCCAAGCTTAGCTGATTACAGGACCAAACTTAGAGATTTCCAGCTGATGAAGATGATACACAAGGAAGCGGTTTGTATAGCTTGATTTATGTTGATGAAATGAACGGTAAGTGTTTTCTTTACAAAGAAGAATTACATATCATCATTCTAGCTACTAATATTGCCATTATAAACTAAAAGTATGAAGTTTTTCAACCCTAGAGGATGGGGTTATTAGTGGTAACAGCACAACCAATGAGTTGCTAGGCCAAAAGAAATACTTAAGTTCCAGGAAAGCAGTGTTAATTCTTACTGTTCTGTGCAATTGCTGTAGCTTTTGAACTGGACACTTACATGTGTGGAGCAGTACGATAACAGACAATACATTGAAAAATAAAATCTAAAATCTTGATTTTCCTAAGACTTTCTAGTCATAAAAAGCACAGTTACTTATGGAGGGCGTTCTCTAAGTCCTGTAGTAACAGGCTAGGGAGACAAGGAGAAGATGTGTGGTACTTAGAAGAAATAAGATAACTCTGCCTTGTGTAAAACATTCTGAAAAAGGTTACTGCAAACACGTGCCAAAAGCTGTCTTCCTTCATATTCAGGTGGGTGGCAGGCAGGTTTGTCAGGCTGGTGCCTGGCCAGGGGCTGGTGGTGGGGTCCTCCTGGTGGGACTAGTCCAGGGTGCTTTGCCACGTTGTCCCAGGCTGTGGGGGGGGAGGTGGTGGGGGCTGCTGTGCGCACAGCCTCCTTCTCCTCCTTCGTGTGTACGGCGTGATGGGTTTTCTCCCACCGGTATCGCAAAGGTGGACATTCAGTAGGTTTGAAATCTGTTAAAATATGCCAAGTACTTTGTGTGAAACTTTTCATGTGTGGATTCACGTGAAAACAGTGGGGGACAGGACTTGGGCCCAGTGAGGCCCAGCGAGACCCAGGCAGGGCCCCCTCGCTTTCGAGCCCAGCCCGATCTCCTGCCCGAGCACCGTGTCCGAAGTCTTGAGGGAGGACTAAGGCAGTGAAGAAAAGTTGGTAACTGGTGGTGAGGACAAGG